TTATTATTTTTCTCCAAGAATGTATAAATTATATTTCCATTTTCACCTTTTCAATTGTAATTTATTTTCTTTAATTTCAATCATGTCTTGAATTGCAAACTATGTTTTCCTGATCAAATCGAGTTGAGATCTATCGTCTTCACTTAATCGTCCCATCAATGAAGTATCGACATCTCATCACGTAAATCCTTATTCGCAAATAATAAGAAGCACTTCTAAGAGTAATATTGCTTGTAGGTTATTAGAACGAGTTTTAAGTAGAAAATTTAAAAAGGATTAATATTTTAATAAATTTAATTATGGGCATCAATTCTTCAATACTTCACTATGGAAAATATGTATGAAAAATACTAACTTGATTGTTGGTAAAGCTATAAATAAATATTATAAAAGATATTGCAAGTTATCCATAAAATATTAAAAATATAAGAAGCAAATAAATAATAAACTTCTATGAATTATATCGAAAACTTTTTCATTAATGATCAACACATAAAGTTGTTGATAATAAATAAAAACACCATCGACAACGTTGTCATCAGTGATCATGGACAAAAGTTTGTCGGTGATCATCGACGATATTATTATCGGTGATTTCGATCAAATTATTGATAGATATTAAATTCCTTTAATTTTTTCTTTCTATTTATTTTTCAATGAAATTAAACTCTTTTTTGCCCTTTAAAAGTAAAACATGACAAGCATGTGCCTTTTAACAATGAAATGGTCAAAACTACCAACCAAAGACCAACTCGCTACAGGTGCAAAAGGTGAAACTTTGTTAAAAATGATAGATGAAAATTAGGACTTAAATAATTTCAGAGTATATTTTTTTACATCCTTAAAATTTAACCTAAGAATGATCTATGAGTTAACATTTAGATTATGAGTTAGTCATTATCTAAAAATGAATACATATAATTTCTTTGTCAAGGTATTTTTTTTTTTTTTTGTAAATATTGAAAATCGAAGCATATCAAGCTCAATTTGAATTGATCGAGTCGAGCCATGCCAAGCCGATTTGATCCTTAGGCACCTAAATTCAACCCGTGAAAAATGCAAGTTCGATTCGATTCATGATCTGTCTCAGAATGAGTCAAAATCACTCACAGACCAATCTGGAAGCAACCAAGCTTGGGAGGCGACGAGCTACTCGACCCATTTGACATCCATGAAATCAATTGAGATTCATGCTTATTTAAAAATAATAATTAGAGATTCATGCTTACTTGAGGAATCTTTGTTGGGGGAAGCACAAGTCACACCTACTTGTGCGTGGAAGAATATACTCTGTGGGATGTGTCTTTATTTTAAATACTAATATATATGATACGATAAGAAAATATATTCTAATATAATATTTTACAAGATATCGATACACACTTCTAGACCCCCTTTACAATAAAATATAATATTTTTAATGTTTCAAGTAATATAGAGGAGCTGATTTGTTTCATTCATATTTAAGCAAAATATTATCTAAAAAAATATGCAACGAATTTCCGTCACATTCGAGCAAAACGAATTTCACTTTGATCGTTTGATTATAACGTAGAAATGAAAATCGAATTTCAAAGTACAACTACTTTAAGTTGTATTTCTTTATTTTCATGAAAAACGAATTTTTATGAGTTTGGTGGAGTTTCTATTTTCTAATTATAATGAAATTGAAATTCTTTTCCACTTTTACATATTAAACTGACTGAATATAATTCCAAGTTTGGCATTTTACCAGGAAAGAAAAGCTTGTGTAAAATCTGTTGCTTTGGAAAACGCTTACCAAAGTTTTTGTGCATTTCAATTTATTGGTACAGTGACCTCGGAAATTGGAAAGTGATGTAATATTGAATTATAAAATTAATGATTCTGTTTATTATTAAAAATAGAATAATGCTACTTGCAATCCTTTACTGCAGCAGTCGCCCTATATGACATACACATGTCAAGTGTGTATTTGATACATTAAATGTGATAAAAAAAACTACCACATTGCATCAAATAACTACATGCCATGTGTGTGCCACATAGGGCGACTGTTGCAATGAGCGACTGCAAGTAGCATTACTCTTAAAAATATGAAACATACGAATAACCTAAATAATATCTCACATAAATAGAATAAAATTGAAATAATTAAATAAATTTAACTAAGTGGCCAGTGAAATTGTATTATTAGCAGAAGAGGTGATATTTTTACATTCTCTCAATAATATCTTAATTTATATGAATTTATATGTATTCATTATGAATATTGACTTATTATTTAAATATAAAGCTTGAAAGTGAAATAACAAACTTACACGATGGTTTACACATTAAAATTTATTTTTCAACCATAAAAAATCACACAAAGACCAATAGTTATACATATGCGTGGACATTTTAATCGAAATTGAACTTTTTGAAGCAAAATCGTCGATTCTGATTTGAATTCAAATATTACATGGAATTGAATGATTTCATTTACAAAATACTAAAAAACTCAATATCTGATTTTCGTTCTTGCAATACCTAGATCAAATCGCTGATGCACGCTAGAGGGGGACATTTCAACTGGAGTCGAACCTGTTCGAAAGATTTTTTGAAAAGTTGTATTCTTGAAAAAAATGAGTATTGTCTTCACTTAATCATCCCACGATTCTCACCAATGAAACATTGACAACTTATTATGTGAGTTCCTTTGTTAACATACAAGAAGTCATGCAACACATTACGAACCTATTCGAAAGATTTTTTGAAAAGCCAAAAGTTATTGTTAAATATATTTGAATAATTTTCTATAAATATTTTGTCTCACTATAAGAACTTTCGGAAGGGGTTGATCTAAGGTAATTTTCTCAAAAAATAAAAATAGAAAATAAAGCTTTGGCAATAGAGCACTACAAGTGATATTACTCTTAGAATTGCTTCTTATTATTTGTTAATAAGGACTCATCTAATGAGACGTCAATATTTTATCAGCGAGACAGTCGAGTGAAAAAAACATATCTCAAGTCGAAAGGAACAAAACACATCTAAGTAACCTTAAAAATGTCGTTTTAAAACTATGCTGTCATTGCTATGTCGATTTTAATAACGTATAATAATTTAATATTACTTAAATATAAGTAATTTTTGCTTTATATGTACATGACGTCACAAAAGTTTAAAATAAATAAAATTCAACTCTTTTGATATAAAAAATAATTGACAACTTTGGTTGGCGAGGCGTGAATACAGAGAATCCATATCCATTTTCAAATACGCCTTACTTGGAATCTAATGATTCCAAGTACCAAGTTGCTTATTTCAAATTCCATACTTTCACCTAATTATGAACCAGTCCTTTTCTTTTTTAAACTCGTAAGAGCACCACGAAAATCTCTCAAAGTGATCCATTAAATATTCACGTTCAATAAAATTGAAAAGTTAGAGATTTAAGTGTTAAAATTGAAGATTGAGGACTCGCATGCCCAATTTTAAATAGCTTGGAGGCGCCAATTGCATAATGTTCATGTAAATTAAAGAGTACTTTTATGTTACAATTGCATCAAAACCACAACATTTGGAAATTATATCGAGTACCTAATATATTTTTGGTACTTATACCTTCAACGTTTTCGTTTGTAACCCAATGGACAATCCTTTCCCCCTCATGCTACTTGTACCCTCATTCCGTATTGACAACCCCACACTTCCATTCTACATTGAGGAGGAAACAACATAGGGTGGAATATCAATCATTAGGGCGGTCACGAGTAGTCTAGTTATAACATGTAAGTAATTAACATCTCTACGTATACTTTATTATTCAACACATTTACAATTAGGGTGCATTTGATTGTAAGGGTGGAAAATGGGTGGAAAGAAAATGAATTTTAGGGAAAGTAATTGCCTAGAAAATATTTTGCAGGGAATTGTTAATTAAGCGTGTTTGATTGTTATAATTTTCCACCCGAAAAATTTTTAAATTTTGTATTCGTTTGACTTTATTTTATATGAAAATTGTCCATTAAAGTGATAATTATTTCCACGGTTGGTTATAAAATTTGTTTCCATTGCCAAAAAGTAAAAAAAA